CATCTGCAGGCCGACCATTTGTGTCTCAAAGGTGGGGTTGCACAACTGCCAATGGGAGTTCTTGTACAAATGCCGTGTGTACAGGGCCTCCTTGTGTTGAAACATGGCCGACTAGTGAGCTTCTCCTGCGGCTCCAGTGCCGGATGTAGAGAGTTGTTGAGATCCACGGAGACGGCCTCTCAAACAAGTCATCTTAGCGCATACCAGTCAAAGCGCAAGGCACACAGGAATGTGCGGGGAGCTCCTGGAATTACGCTTCCAGATCAGACACCCGACTTGGCAACCCATCGCTGAAAACTAAGGAGGGAAAACCTCTTCCGTTAAGAGGCTGAGCTCAACAGACAGAGCCGAAATCCTTAAAATAGAAATCAACTAGGAAAAACAAATCCGCACTCAGGAGAAAGGGTCTACTCAGGACAGGACTCAAAAAAAACAAGAAACAAATAAGAGAAGCAATATGGAACGAAACAAATGAAGCAAGGAATCATTTTTTGCTGGGGCTTCCGGACTGTTTGCCCGATGGAGACGAAACGAGTGACATGGCAACAGCAGCTACTGGACAAAAGGCTGCAGGACAGAGGCAGTTACCTCATGGGGTGAAAGAGGGGGAACTTGGTACCAAGCTGTCTGCCCCGAACAAACATATAAAACCAACAGTGTGAATAAATGGTTTAAAGTCTGGAAGAGTCTTCGATGGGCACGAGGCATCTGAAAACACCCAGGTGCTTGCTGACTGTCCAGGTGCTTGCTGACTGTCACCGTGTCCGCTAGTCTATTGGCCTATCAGAACCTAGTCGACCATTATGTGATACCTTAACGATTTTGCCACCCTGCGATCTTACGTACGGGTGCCTTACAGGGCTTCCAATCACGACCGAAACAGACCTCCCCTCATCCACCCAAGAACTGGAAAGGCCAACAGCTTTCTGGAGCCTTTCCGCTTCGGCTTGTCCATCCGACCTCGTACGGGTACCGGATCGAGGACCAGCTCTGGGGGACCAGCGCCAGGACCGTCGTACGGTTGCCAATCCGCTGGACCTCGCACACACTGCCTCGTCAGGGGCCGCGCGACGCAAGGCGCAGGGGGCGTGCAGCGAGGGCGGGACGGAGCTCCTCCACACTTGGCGAAGATGACGGGAGGTACTGGAGCCTCTCTCGTTTGAGAGGCACATGAATGGACGATGCCCAGCCTGTCTATCCATGAAGTCTGCGGGACACGAGAAGAAGGGGCAGGACACCAAGTCCAACAGCAAAACAAGACAAAAGGATGAGAAGAAAACAGAACAACGGCCGCGACACGGTTTGGGCTGGATACGATGCTACACCCCCTCGTATCGAAACCTGGACCAGCAGTGGCGCCGAGGTGCCGCTGGCGTCCTGGAGCCCCGTGAAGCCAAGGTCTGTGAGCCCTGGAAGCTCCACAGCCTCTGGGTGCTCGTTGGACACCGAAAGCTCTCCAGACTCCGAGAGCTCGAGCCAGTCGCTCGAGGAGCGCGGCAAGCAGGCCAGGGTGAGCTCGCTGGATTTCGTTCTTCGGTGCGCAGCTTCTGGCGGATCGGGTGGATCCTGGCGGAGCCGGCGCTCGGTGCCAGTCAGTTCCTGACTTTGGAGGTCCCAGTTGCTATCATGTTCATTTTAAAACCCTTAAGTTCATGCCGTTTGGCCCCTTGCCAACCGCACAACAGCGACCAAGCCGCTGCTAAGCTGCTTCCCCAAATGGCAAGTGTGCCTTCTCTTGCAAGCCCTCCGCTAGCTTCGCAGGAGATATATAAATGGGTCAAGCTCTATCATGCTACGTTGTCAAGAAAGCAATCCCCGAGCTCCCGTCCACTTCACACAGCACAAGCACGAGCCTCAAATTGAATACTGAATACTGCAACAAAACTGCTCCTTTCAACCTCCAAGCTACTTGAGCTTCCTCTCCTTCCAGGGCTGCTTCCGGCACGATGCCGGAGACCCTTGCGGGGAAGATCTTCTTGGACCCCGAAGGCACGATGAGCGCCTCGCTCTCCCAAACCATCCACTTCGACCCGGAGACTCTCAGCATCGCTGACGTGCTCAGCTCGCCTTCATGCGCCTCAGGGCCAAGACCACGATCGGTTTCAATGATCAATGACATCCTTCTGGGAATAGTCAGTTGTACACTTGGGATTTATCCACTCTATCATTCACCCAACCAATGTGAAAAGGCTGCCACCTGGCCGCGGAGTCGTGGAGCAATTCTGAGTCCTACTCTGACGCTGGTTGCTGGGTGGCCAGCTGTTCACCCGCCCCCGGGCTGATCGTTGCGGTCCAGCTGTGAAGGCCTACATGGGAGATGGATCCAGAAAGGACACGCTGCACGGCTTCAGCGTGTCAGCATCAAGAGACGTGTGGCTTGAGAGGTGTGGGGCTCCACGGCTATGGCTTACCTTCACATCTAGCCCACCCAAGAGTTCCAGACCACCAGTCAACCGATGCGCCAAGCCAGCCGAGCCTCAGTCTAGACAGGAAAACACCGGAAAGCACCCTGGCCCTGCTTCTCTTCTGGTGCCGGGCAGCTGTGATGGTGCAAGTCACAGAAAAGTCGCCTTGCCTCAAGAACAGCCGCTCGTGGGGCCATGTGCAGAGTAGGGTGTGGGTGCAACCAGGGCACCACGCAACAAGGGGCGGAGTCTGGGAGATGAGATGGACAGGGTCCTGCTGGGGTGGGTCCCTTTGGAAGCTCCCGCTGTGGGCGGACGAACGAACCCCCCGTCGCTCCGTCTCACCAAAACAGGCTGCTAGGCTACGGCGGGTCAGCCACGGTACTGCGGGAAATTGATCCATCCTTGCCCTAGCTCAAATGTGCCTCATGCACTCTAGTTTTGCAACCCTAGAGCCCTGGGGTTCATACTTGATACCATTAATTTGGAGACCCAAAGCCGACATGAAATACAGCAATCTTCCAGCAAAAAGCTAGCTAGATCAGAAAACATTCATCATCCGACTCGGCCAGCCCCGATGTGGTGCGAGTCACGCCCCGCCACAGCCGAAGGTGGAGCAATGGGGCGCCAGCTTCAACTCGCCTGCACATCGACGAACCCACCGGGGACCCACCGCCCCCGCACCCGGTTCTTCTCTAGCCGTGCACTTTAGTAGGGAGACCTCCTGCCCCAAGGGAGACCTCCTGGCCAAGGTCAACACCGCCAAGCACGCCTGTGGTCCCATCCAAGGTGAGGTTGAACTTCAAGAGTTGACAGGTGCTGTCCACCGAGTAGCGCTCGGCGGTGCGCGGCAGCGGGTGCCCGACCACCCGAGAGTCACCGACCAGGATGGGCTCCGTGTAGTACCCGAAGCTGGTGGCCACCCGGAGGCCCCCTCCACAAGCACAGCAGGCGGTGTTGGCAGAGAGGCCGTGGAAGGGTTGGCCACTACAGGCCGAGGCTTCTGCCACGCCATAGCAGTTCCTGTGCGGAAACTGAAGAGGAAGGATAATGAGCCCTTTGAAAAAATCACATCAACAACTGGGCCATCCTAAAGCAAATGAGCTACAGCTCAAATTCTAATATTGGGGAATATTGGCTGCAACTGGTTTATTGATCGGGGAACGCTGCATGGACACCAGTTCGTTTCTTGAGCACACATGCACCCGCACTCCCTTCCGATATGTAGAATGCTTCAAGCACATCCAGTGCATGCCACGGGCTTCGTTGCAAGAATTGGACCTTGCAAGACCACACGGTCACTCTCGCCTTCCCTCGCTATCATGCCAAGCCATGTCCGCGCAGGCTGTGCAGTGCCCCGAGTCCAAGACCCATCCGCCGCGACAGCGCTTGCAGGCCGTGCCCTCGAGGTTCGGCTCCGCACAGCCACCGCACCAGGTAGCGCCCCAGGGGCAGCAAAAGGCACCCTTCTCTGATCCATCCTGGGAAAGGGGCTAGCTTGGAGCCACACTTCCTCCAACAATCATAGAAGCTGAGCAAATCCCCGCTTGTGTAGGAAAATGATCTTCCAAGGGCCCAGGTTCCACTTCCATGATTGTTTCAGGAAGGGTAAATCTCAGATTGGCCAGTGGCAAACTGCAGGTCTAACAAAGCTGTTTTGGTGCCTTCCCAAGGATCGGGCGGCCAAACAACCGTGCCTGCCCCACGTGCACAAAAGTCGCTAGTCTGCTCGGAGTGTTTCACAGTCTCCACCAGCTGATGTACACCCTCATCAGCGTGGTTGGGTCCACAGGATTCGAAATACCCGCCGTCCTGCACAAGAAATCATGCCACAAAACCGATTGAATTCCGCGGTTTCAATTAAAAGGACCGTCTGCGAATGGTCTGCTTGAATCTCCCTGATCCTTTCCATTACCCATGATAAAAGAAACCTTCTTTCGGCACAGAACCAATCGGAATCCGACGTCCCTTGCTCTGGCTGTGACTCACAGCCACTCCACCATCGCTTTTGGGCGCTTACGTGGGCCCATCAAGAACAGGAACATGCCTCCTTGAGACGTGATCGAATCCTCTCCTGAGACGACCTCTTGACTGGCAGAATCTTGCTGCGCCGGGCTCGGGTCACGTGAGCCAAGAGAAGAACCAACGCCCACCTCATGGGTGTCCGCAGGACGCACCAAGAAGCGCAATCTGCCAAATGTGTGGTTCTTTGGCCACCTCACTTTTGGAGAGCGGCTTGGGCCCTGAGGAAAGAGTCGACACATGAGGAAAGAGCCAGACACTTTTTTTCGGGTGACGCGACGGCTGTGCAAGTCTGTCCACCCGTTGTGATATTGATGCCGATGAATGAATCGCCGCGGCCTTCCAAATACAGTAACTCAAACATACTCAAACATACATGTTTAGCACGAGGCAAGGTGTCTCATCGATGAATCGAGAACCCCCTTTATATTCTCCTGACGGCATTGCACCCCACGACAAGCCGACTCAGTGGTCAACACTTTGAGCCTCTAGATGAGCATCAGCTACCAATCATGGAGCCCCTCATCCCCTTCAAGTGTTGGAGTCGTGCCTTAACCCCCATGACTTGCAGGCCTTCAAGCTATCAACGACGGACATCTCGCGGTTTCCTGTCGGGAGTGGGATGGCTCTCAGTCAAGGTCGCTTGGACATAATTCCGCGGCCGGGACACTGTACAGCACTACTAAGCTTGGCAGCTCTACAAATTTCTACGCTCTAGCCGCTAGCCCCAACAAGTCTCTTGTATCTTGTGCTGCCATTCTCGACAACCCTAGCCCAGGCAACCCTTTTTCCCCCAAGGGTCAGGATGAGCCAAGGCTACCCTCATGACCTGCGTGCACGGGCCACACTTGGGTGGGCCCCATTAATGGATCTCCGCCGTTTGGCCCCCCCACCTCCGCACCCTCCACCCACGAACCGAGCGAAGCGACTCCCCAGGGATCGATGGACGAGAGCCCCTGAGAACGACCAGGTCTGACCGAGTCCAGGAACGGAGCAGAACGGCCCAGCGTCTTCTGGAACGAACGACCCGAGACGGCCACTCTTAGGGGTGACGTTCCTGTCTGACGCTTCCTTTAGTGAAGGTACCATCCGATACTTGATGTAAATGACCAGCAGCCGCTGGTCATAGTGCTACTCATGCGTTTCAACGTGCCTTTCGCACCAAACGGTGGCATGAAGTCGTCGTTCTTAGCTGACCCGTACCCCACGGCATTGCACAAGGTCTGAGTGTTTTCGCGCTAGCGCTGCTCGTCTGCTGTTCCAACGTTTTTGGTTGTATATCCCCATTGTGCCAGCATCGACCCCAAACAGTTTTCAACGTCTTGTGTGCGTCCACGCCTCAGAATTCCTCTTCGTTGGTGGTTGGTTTCTAACGTCGGTCACTCTTCCGATAGCCTCCAGCTATTTGGGAACGGCAGGTAATTCAAAGATGCTTGAAAAGAATTGAAAACAATAGTTCCTGATTCCCGGGTCACGCAAGAACGATCTATGATGTCAGGTTAACCCCGAGGGTGATGAACTCGAAACGTTGTATCAATGTTGCATTCATAGCCACACGAAAACATACCCGGACAAGGCTGTGGAGAAAGGTACAGCGGGACAAGGCTCACATTCCGGTAAAAGGGGCGACAACAAAGCCCTCACCAAAGAAAGGCATGGCACCGGTCGGCACGGCCCAGCAGCGCACACAGACCCAGACACGGCCAGAGACTGTGGCCCGGGGCATTTTTCCTAAGAGCGAACCCCAACAGTAAACCGTCTCAGAGGCTGATCCTTCGGAAGCTTGCTCCGAGAGCTGCGCTGGGGCGCAACAAACTCGCCGCTTGGGCCTCCGCGCAGAAACTCGCGCCACCAGATTGATGGCCCACCCATTTCCCACTTCCGTGCACCCGCACCCGCCTGGCCACGCCTTGCCGCCCTCAATCATGGCCATTGGAGGCCTGGGGTGTCGGCTTCTGAGCTGCCATTGCCAGTAGTCTTCTTGGTGGTGTGGCCTAACATGGAGATTTGGCCATGAGGCACACACAAATGCATGTGTGTGTGTGGTGGTGTTGTGTTGTGTGTGTGTGTGTGTCACCCCCCGTGCCCCTCCGTCAACGACAAAAGCTTGGCCACACCCTTGGGAGCAAATGGCAATGGGCTCTCCTTCCACGTTCAAACCATGGCAATTGGGTTGTCAACCCTGGTAGAGTATTCAGTTCGGTGAGGGTCTGGCCCAGGAACCCCTTCCCAGTCAACATGAGTGAAGCCGAGGGGCGCCAGCCGGCCGCACCCAGCCGCTCTCCGGAGTCTCCGGCGGGTGCAACTGGTCTAAATGTCCCGCTGCTCAAGATCCCCAAAATCAAGGGGCGGGACAACCCCTGAGTACCTTCTCAGGAGGTATTGGAGCCCTAGGGCCCTAGGGAAAGATTGCCTGATCTAAGATCTATCAGCATGGGCAAGGGCATGGGTAAAGAGTCTACTGGACCGTTGTTTGGTGATGACTACCGGCTACCATCCGAGCAAACCGCATATCTACCACCTTCAGGCGGCGGCTTGTGTGTCAAGACCTAGACTGGCCATGTTGAATCTTCAAATGTGAACTACGAGGGTGCAACTTCCTGACTCTCAGCCTGCAGGCATCTGCTAATGAGCCTCGATATTCTTTTTTAGGGCGCTGAAACTGTGAGCACAGTCATCTTTAATCACAGCAACAACTCCAGTGAACCCAGGCGGTTGGAGAAGGAGCAACAGGGTGCCTCCCAAAAAGCGCCGCTGAGCGAGACTACGGGTCAGCAGGCTAGAAATCAAATGCCCTGATTGTCGGTAGCGAATGATGGTTTGCGGGAACTTGGCCGCAGACTAGATTCAAAATCCAAACAAACACCGTGCTCGCCACATCTTCCACATCTTCCACTTTGACCAAGACTCCTACACAACCTGGGCATGGACCTTGGACATCACAGCTTTTCAAAAGGCCCATGGAGGTGGACGAGCTGAGAGATTGGACAAGCACCCAGTCGGTGGCCTGTGGTCTGAAGATGAAAATCTCCTATGGACGAACTGGAACCGACTGTGCATACCGGTTCCGTGAATTGAATATCTGCTTGGGCTGCGGTTTTCCTTTCTATGAAGGAATCCGGACCCGACCTAAACCCTTCCCATTGCTTCGGGGTTGGGTTCTCAGGGTGGTTGAAAACCTGCCATGTTGTGGACCCATGCAATGATCATATACTATGTGAACTTCGAGGTGCATGTCCGGGACGTCACTTTTTCCGCCGCCTTGGCCACTTTTCGCACCCGTCTTCCGCCTTCGGTTCTTACGCACGGGAGCCGAAGGTCAGGCGCTCACTGCTGCGCCTCACGCTGAAGAGCGAGCAGCTCAGCTCGGTTTCGGCGGTGAAGCTCGCTGAATTCGCTCCCACCCACAGGTGAATTGAAAGTTTTCATGTGGAATCTTCGACGGTCGGCACCAGGCAGTTCAGAAACGTCCCAGTTTGCCACAGCTCCACGGTCCACGGAAGTTTGACAGGACTCATGAACCTGGCATAAATAACCAAAAAAGGAAGCGAGCGTTGCCTTTCATGTGGGACGAGGAGATCAAAAGAAAGGGCTCTATGGACTGCAAACCAAAACCCTGAAAAAAAGAACTCAACCAGGACCCCCAAGGGTGGTTCATGGACACCCCTTAACAGCCAAGGGGCTATAAGTAGACACCCTTGGAGGGTCCTGGAACTCATTGAATTGTGGAAACCCTGCGCGAGACTCGCTGCCGGGACTCTCGGGACACCGCCGTTTCTTCTTTCAGCCAGGCGTCTCCATGTAGGCGCTTGAAGCATCCTGCGCGCGTTTTGTCCAAGACGAAGGGGGCCGCTGCTACTTCCCAGAACATCTGGTAATGGTCATTGCTAGATCGAAGCATGCGAGGGGAGCGTTTGGGAGATTGACCAGAAGAGATTGGATGGCGAAGGAATCGAAGCCGAGATCGAACCCAGCTGGGCCAGGCGCGGGCCATGATGGAGAGCCACGGGCAATGGTACTGACATTTTTTCTGAAGTGGTCGCCCCCCCCATTTCTCAAATGGAGTTCATTATGGCATGAGCAATCCAATTCGCTGAGTTAAGACCCTGAAACCTTTTGAGTCTGCAGGGTTAGTGATCGCGAACCATGCAAAATCATCGCTATCGTGCTGCTCTGCAGGCCGAAAATGATCGAGTCGGGTTGTCCGTATAGAAAGGGATTCGCTTTCCGATCTCACATGTTTTTAGGAGGAAATGAGTGGAGTCACCCGATTCAACTGCCCGATAGCCGACACACAACCGAAGATACGACCGCAGATCTGGGTGCCCGCACGCGAGTCCGCAAGCCTCACGGGTCCCACGGGTTCCGTGCCGAAGCGACGGGTCAAGCGACCAGAGAAGGTGTTTCTAAAGAAGCAGGTTCAAGATTGGGGACGATCCCCCAAACCGCTTGCGAGCCCCCACTTTGCATGGCTCCATGGCACGACCACGGTGGCTGCATAAGAAAGGCAGCACATGTCCAAGCACGACCCGGGCTTGCTGGAACGCCCGCACAGCTGGGCCGTGGATCTTGTGATAGTTCTTCTATTTACCCCCAACGCTTTCAAGTAGAATTTTACTGTGGACAGCTGTTTCGTTTCAGGACATTTCTGCTATAGTGCACGGTGCTATACAAAGAGTCTCCATCTCCACAGGTTGAAGGGTCCCTTGGAGCCCGGACTCCATGCGCGCTGAGCGTGCGCCGGGGCATCTACCTTGACCAGGGTGGTCGACGGCACAAACACTGATCACTAACATATCTTCAAAGAATGCGAGATCTGTTCTATATCCTTCGACAAGTTTATTACACCCGGTCATCGTTCCAACTCGCTATAGAATGCAATTATATGCGGTATTATGCGGAGCTCTGGGATCCCTCTATGTTCTAGGCCTGCATCGCATCGCCCTCTTAATTCCTTTCCTTCGTCCCCTTCCTTGAGCATATCTGTTTCGAATCCAACCCATTTTTGTGATATTGTTCAACCTTGGATCGAAAACAGTGTTTTCTGTCTTTTCAATTTTCAGGTTTGGTTCCCTCTGGCAATGCAGTTATGCCCCCGATGAGTCCAAATGTTTTATTTTCATCTACCCAGAATTGGTGAACAGGACCCAACACCCTCATCAAACCTCCGGATGCCTAGGTTTGTCTTGCGCTTCGCTGGCGGCCCTTTTCTCAACTTCCCTTTGGGAAATTTGCTGGAACGCCAGCACAAGAGGTCCACCGTCTCTTGTACTTGTCGGTGCAGTGAGCCAAGCATATGTCCATTGAAAATCACTTCCAACGACAAAGATTCGGGGTATGGGCATGGTCGAGCCCAACCACAAAAAAAAGAAAGCAATCTTTCGAAACAGGCTCCACCTGCACCAGGACCCCAGGAGCTGCAGCACTATGTACATCTGCCATCAGTTTGGCACCACCTCGAAGGGATGAGCAACTGTCCCTTCTCCATCGACATCCACTTTTTGCGATCTCTCCCTGTCGACGGACGGGTCCGATGATTGAAGCTCCTCCTCATCATTCTTTGGAGGCGCAAACTGGAAGAGCTCTCCTGGGCGCGTTGCGGCGAAATGCGGCAAAGGAGGGTACTGTGGCGGTGGCCAACGACTTCAATCAGAAAGCCTTCCAGATGGTCATGCATGGAATCCGATGACCAAGATGATAAATGAAACATCACACGGGTTGACTGCAATGTCTAAACAACACTAACATTTGGCCAAAAGGGGTCGTCGTGCGCTTCCCGCCCGACCCATTCTTTGAGCAAAAAATGATGTCCTCACGCAGAAGACGTAAACCACAAGTGGTCAGAATTACATCGCTTAGGTATGGGCAAACCTCGGGTGCAGAAAACAAATCATGATAGAGCTGTGATGAGCTGCGTGTGTTTGGGTCAACCCCAGGCTTTTTGGATTATCTATGAGGTTGGCTAACTAGCGAATGGTGAAATCCCAATAGCCAGCCGCCAAATACCGACCACTTAATTTGGCGACCTGAAAGACCAAGCTTAGGGAACGGAACCAGAAACTGACACACATGATCCCAGCATTCTGGATAAGTAGTCTCACGAGGCATACTTCTGCGGCCGCTCGGTCTCTTAAAACCACTAACCGGATCAGGAAACAGCGGCCAGAAAGGCAGCAGAAGTTTGCAATCAAGTTTGCCGAGTTCCAAGTGAAACAAGTTGTCCAAGTGGTTCGGAGCATTTCAGGTTCCATTTCGTTCCCCCAGCAGCGACACCTCCCGCGGCGGAAGAACCCTTGGCGGTTTTTGTCCAAACGCGCCACGCGCGGGTTCCAAGCGCTCCCTGTCAGACCCAGTCTCCAAAGTGCTGGCAAAAGCCCTTGAGATCCAATGTCGTGCCACCGTGCCGAGCAAAGACTGCTGCCAGCCGCTCCTTGAATGCGGCGCCACGGTGCTCGTCACTGAAGGACAAACCGTGCGCCTGAAGCTGTTGGAAGACCTCGGTGGCCGCTTCAAGACGTCTTGCGCTTGGTGCCATCTACTCCGAAACCAATGGACATCGCAGCCCAGCCCTGACCCGTACTTGATGGACCTGGGCGTTCTTTCCGATGACGACCAAGAATAGAACTGCTCCGCGGCAAGAAGTGACATACCGGGGGTTCAGAGTAGAGGAAAGAGTAGATGCCGCAAAAAATACCATCTTCTTTCCTACCGGGGGTTCAGAGTAGATGGTGCCAAACCCCTTTTGCTTTTGGCCTAACTGGCCGCTTCGCACCTTGTCTGCCGTGATGTGGCCTCTGCCATCCTGATCAAAGACTTTGAAGACGATCAAAAGCTCTTTGGCATCCAAGGACGCGGATGCAGTGTGGTAGCGAAAGTTGGCGTCCGACACCAGCTTCACCTGTCACGGTGTCACCCCACGGGCGGGCACGACGT